GGTTCTTCTATAAAAATAGAACAGATGAATTAATTTTAATATTTCATTTTAATTTAAGCACCGGATCTGAATCACCGCCTGAGAAATCATATATCGCACAAGTATTTCACTGCGCCTAAGCTACAAGAACTATAGGTACAAGTTATAAGTCCTCTTACAATATGTTTTCAGGTGAGTGAACTGTATACCTTCATTAATTAAAGCATCACTTGATATTCACAGCTTATAATATTAATGAATAAATTTTAATATTTTATTTTAATTTTAGAACTAGAGCTGAATCACTACCTGAGAATCATATTTTAAAGGATTTCTACCGTGGCTAGACTGACCCCCTATGGGTACAAGTTATGAGTCCTGTCCCAATGTGTTTTCAGGTGAGTGAACTGTATACCTTCATTAATTAAAGCAACACTTGATATTTTCTGCTTGTAATATATTGTAATGAATTAATTTTAATATTTTATTTTAATTTCAGAACTAGAGCTGAATCACTACCTGAGAAATTATTGTATTAGATTGCCGAGTCCAAAAGAGTACACTAAATGAACCAAAAATCATGCTTTAGAAACACACCTATGCAGAATTTGATTTGTCAGTGCATGATCCATTTTAAAATATTGAGTACTCTACTGCCATTGGCTGTTTATCATATTGAGTTTAGCTTCTACGCAGACTGACGTACAAAATGTGCCATAATTGTTTTGTTGCGTGGTCGTATTTAGGCATGGATCATAAACATAAGTGAGGATTTTGAGTGGATATGTAAAAATATGTTGGTATATGAGGTAATTCTTTGAAATTACAGAAAAATACGTGATTTTCTTTGGTTATGACCATTCTTTAAAAAAATACGTCAGACAACGTTCATTTTATGTTGAAGAAATGAGTGTATATTCCAAAATTTATATAACTTGTATTGGTATCATAATAGTTTACGTAGAACTACAACAAATACAAAACTCAATGCCATATGTATAACGACGTCGCCTGCACAACAAACACCTCAACTTGATTATTGTGTACAATTAGAGAATACTGATTTTAGACCATCAGTAAATAAATGTACAATACTTAGTACATTGAATTGAATCAAAAAACAAGAGACGTTGATGGAAGTCGTATGCGGATTATATTAAAAATTGCATATATACTTTCATGATACTGCTCGATTGTTGATATAACCAGTTCTTGCAGAATTTTTCTTAAATATAGCACTATATTATTTTGAATTGTGTTGTATTATTCTAATTAATAATGTGCATATTAAACGTTACATAGACTATTCTTCGATTTGTATGTAATTTCTGATGACCACATGATCATGGCCACGTTAGTCAAAGATTATACTTCTCATTGAAATATGTGTTCTGTATCAAATATTTCAGATATTCAGATGTAAACTGTCAGAGTAAAATGCACGTAATAACTTTCACTGGATTGTGAAAATTTTGTAGAACTACTCATTTGGGTTACAGATAACAACACTCATATAAGTGGTTTATGCAAACAGTGCTTTGTTGAGGGAAGTATAAAGCATGATGATTAATTATTATTCCAATGATAAACAATGGTTGTATTCATACATAACATTGTCTCGACAAAGAAAGGCTAAATACTTTACCCACAAGAGACTTGTATGTAACTTCTTCATTTTAACTGCATTCTGGGAACATCCCGTGTTCAAATATGTGTAGGCAGATCGAAAAAATAAAGTGATTACTTGTATTTACCTTATTCCTCATGATTTCAATGCAACGTGTGAACAGCTGTCATTATTCTGATTACTTGCTTTGTTGTAAAAACAAACAAAACAAAAAAACTAAAACTGTATTCATTACACATGATTGCTTTCTCGAAATATAATAATTGAATTGATTTTTTACAGAAGGAAACATGTTATTCCTATTACACTTCCAAGTACGTTTCGATATTTTCAGTTACAACTGTCAAAATCACAGTTCAACCAGAGAAAAATTAAACGTGCTTGGGAATGGTAGGATTTCACAAAAACAGCACATTTAAGACAAAATAGTTCTGCTGTGTTCCACATTGTGAATGGATAATGTGTATACAAGTTTTTTATTACCTTGTCATGTGACCGGATATTAGTTCTAATAAATATTAGAAATATATTATTTAATTGCTCGTAAAGTTTTGTAGATCGTCGTAAGTGACAAGTGTATAATAATAGGAAGCAATACACGTGATCAAACAAGTGAGAGTAATATATATGTATACCTAGTGATTTACAACAAACGTACAATGATTGTTTTCATTTCCGCCTCATGAAAATGTAACGAAGCCATACAAATTTAGACAATGTCTAAAATGTTATAGCCAACAAGGTTATGTTAACAAATCTAACTCACTGATGAACAGTTGTGATAACTTTGCTCTTTAGTTGTTCTATTAATAAAGACACATAATGTACAGACTGGTTGGCGACTTGTTCCGCTCAAAAACACGTTTTCGGCTGTTGTCATGACAGGGCATGAAGGTGAAGCTGACTTCGGTTTATAACTAAAGCCGGGGTTCCGTACACGAAGTTCACAAAGAGCATTCAGTCTTCAGAAGTCACTTCACTTTATTACTAGTGCGTATTTTGCTGTTATAATTAATTTTGCTGTTATAATTATTATTTCTGACCGTTTGTATTTTCTAGATTCTTCGATTAAACACAGCTTTCACAGTTCATTCAAAATTGCGTTTGGACTTAAGGTAGCGAGACTATTATTTGTGTTGAAAATTACGATTTTCACATTTATTTATTAATTGATGAAATGCACTATAAACTTTCATATGATAAAGTCAATATAACATAGAATGTCATGTAAGTTGGTTAAAATGTAGATTTTCTGAAGGGAAGCAAGGCAGCCTCAGTAGTGTTTTCCAAAATCAACAACACAGGTTTAATCTGTGTGCCTATAAGTTTCAAAGATAAACTCAAGACAAAGCAATGTTAGGATGTGTTATCAGTAGCTATCTGACACACAATGAGTGTTTCCAAACATTTGAGTGGTTTGTCTCCGCCCCTGTTTGTTTCACAGATTAGTCATTTGCATATGAATGTGTCAGACACAAGGTCACACAGCCACTGAAAAAAATCATTGATTTTGGTGTTTTCATATGCCGAATTTATCCAATTATAGCTATCCCATTCCTTTATTTTTTTTGGTTTCCAATAGCCTTACACATTTGGATGTCCCTACACATGGTAAAACAGACCTTGATGGGGAAACAAGTTGATTGTGCCGATAAACAAGCTTGAAA